CGCCCTTCTCCGGAGACTCAGGGCGGCTTACAATGCATTAAGCAATAGCTTTCATACTTTTGTATATTTATACAAAGTCAGTTTATTGCCCCCACAATCTGGGTCCTCATTTTACCTACCTTAGAAAGGATGGAAGGCTGAGTCAACCTTGAGCCTGGTGAGATTTGAACTTACAGTAATTGCAGACAGCTTGATGTTAATAACAGTGCTTTAGTCTGCTGCACCACCAGGCTATTTGTTCATTTTCTTGGCTGTCCATGATATTATCATGACTTTTTTCCAACACCAAATTTCAAAAACTCTTTCTATCCAGCTTCTTTTTAAAGTCCAACTTTCAAAAGCACCAATATATTTTCAATCCTCCGCCAAAGTTCCACTTTTGCTGGAATGTCACTGGGAAAACCACTGTGTTTAAAATCCTGATCTTTGTAGTATGGCTTGGCATCTGAAGAACGTTTCCAAGCATTTCATTGCTACCCAGCAAGCGTATTACATTGAACTGTGATCCATTTGTTAGTATACTCCTTGACTTTAATTACTAAGGCTTGCACATTATTTGTATTTTCAGCTATCAGAATAGTATTGTCAGGTGCAAAAAAACCAAGTTGACATGTGAAGGTTCAATTTAACTGATTTATGGCTAAGGAAACTTCTCAACTGTCGACCTCAGTTTAGAACTAGATAAGGTTTAACAGCAATCAAAAGCAGCTGAAGGCAGGTTAAGAAGCAATGGATGGAAACTAATCAAGGGAAGCTCCAGCCTAGAACTAAGGAGAAATTTCCTGACAATGAGAACAATTAATCAGGGAACAGTTTGCCTCCAGAAGTTGTGGGTGCTCCATCCCTGGAGGTTTATAAGAAGAGACCTGTCTGAAATGGTATAGTGTCTCTTATTGGATGGGGTGGGGTTGGACTAGAAGACCTCCAAGGTCCCTTCCAATGCTGTTGTTTTATTAAAGTGGAACTACAATGAACATAGGGGACGCGGAGGCTCAGTGGCTAAGACATTGAGCTTGTCAATCAGAAAGGTCGGCAGTTCGGTGGTTCAAATCCCTAGCGCCATGTAATGGAGTGAGCTCCCATTATTTGCCTCAGCTTCTGCCAACCTAGCAGTTAGGAAGCATGTAAAAATGCAAGTAGAAAAATAGGGACCACCTTGGTGGGAAGGTAACAATGTTCCTTGCGCCTTTGGTGTTTAGTTATTATTATTATTATTTTTTAATTTGATTTATATGCCGCCCTTCTCCGGAGACTCAGGGCGGCTTACAATGCGTTAAGCAATAGCCTTCATCCTTTTGTATATTTATACAAAGTCAGCTTATTGCCCCCACAAACTGGGTCCTCAATTTACCCACCTTAGAAAGGATGGAAGGCTGAGTCGACCTTGAGCCTGGTGAGAATTGAACTCGCAGTAATTGCAGGCAGCTGGATATTAAATGCTGCCTTAGGTGGCATTAGCCTCCTACGCCACTCAGGCTCCTTTATGCCGGCCACATGACAACAGAATTGTCATCAGACAGTGCTGGCTTTTCATCTTAGAAACAGAGATGAGCACAACCCCCTAGAGTCAGGAACGACTAGCATGTATGTGCGAGGGGAACCTTTACCTTTACAATGAACATGTTGAGACACTAGCCAAAGATCACTGTAACTATAGCAATAACAATAGCACTTAGACTTATATACCGCTTTACAGTGCTTCACAGCCCTCTCTAAGCGGTTTACAAAGTCAGCCTCTTGCCCCCAACAATCTGGGTCTTCATTTCATCAACCTCGGAAGGATGGAAGGCTGAGTCAACCTTGAGCCTGGTGAGATTCGAACCGCCGAATTGCAGTCAGCCGGCAGTTAGCAGAAGTAGCCTGTAGTACTGCACTCTAACCACTGTGCCACCGTGGTTTTTATATAGCATATTTAAAGTCCCAGATATGGGCTCCATCTGTCTTTCTTTTTTAATCAATATTCCCACTCTAGGCTCCCACCTCCATGCACATTTTCTTCTCCTCACTTGACCTGCTGGTTCTGAAGATTTTCTTTTCAGATCATAGGAGGCCATCTCCGTTTGAAAGACCGTGCAAATTAAGAGAGATGGGCAAGGCTTGGGGAGCTGGATGTCTGAATGTGTCCCCTGGGTTTTCATTTACAGATCTTGTACCTGCCACAAACACAATTACCACTGCCAGAAACGTAGAGGTTAGCCGAGAAAACACATGGCAGTTTTGGCTCGTACCAAACTATAATTGGGAAGATTATTTTTAATCAGAGTTATACCACGGCTTGAACATTAGTAAGGCTGACAGGAAATTAAACCCAAACCCAAACAACATTGATTGGGTTGCCTCAAAGCACAGTAATATTCCTGAGTTGTCTAATTATAGACCTTTGATAGCATTATATAACTGTACTTTGGAAGAAGACATTTAAATGATCAACAACTGTCTATTTGCCTCATTTTACCACTTTCTTGTTTGTTTGTTTTTAAGATTGGATTAAATGTATGAGACACAGAATTAATTTTGCATATATTTTCTACATCTAACTGGTGTTTATTAGCCTTCTTTTGTGTACCATCAGCATTGTGGATCTCAAACATCCAGGCAGATTGCTGTTTTTTTTTAAAGATGTGGGTGTTTAGCCAGCCATGGTATTGAAAAAGAAACAGATACCTTGTTTTACTAGCCACTGATTTCTTTCAAACTTATTTTTTTCAAGCAATTAAATTATAAACGCTAATGCAGAGACCAAGAAAGGGAGGGAGAAACTTGTGCATAAATCTAGATATTTTTTTCTGTAAAATCCTCAGCAGAATATCAGTAAGTTTATTAGACCAAAACAAAAATAGGGAACACTGAATTGTACACTAGTGTTTTGCCTTTCCATTGTGATAATCAGGGGTGGGCTCCTGGGGTTTCGCAGGGGTTCAAGAGAACCTCTAGCTAAGATTCTGTGCAGTTCGGAGAACCCCCAAATCCCTCTCCTGGCTGGCCCCACTCACTCCTCCCCTCCCAGGAGTCCCCACATGGCCCGTTTTGGATACAGGTAAGTGCAGGCATGTACGGAGGCTCGGGAATGGCGAAAAATGGGCCTACCAGAAGTTTGGGCCTCCGGAGCCTGGGGAGGCTATTTTCACCATCCCAGAGGCTCGAGGAATGCCTCCGGAACCCAGGGAGGGCAAAAATGCGCCCCTCTCTGCCATAGTGCAGGAGGCCAACTAGGCCACACCCACCATGGCCACGCCCACCCAGCAACTGGACAGAGAACCCCTTGCTAAAGTTTTTGAAGCTCACCCCTGATGATAATTGTAACCCTTTGGCTTTGCACAAATGCTTAGCTCATTCCAAAACACAGGAGCCGATTTTACCAACCATTTCTTAATAAGAATGGACACGTCATTCTAAATCTTTGCCAATTTCACTTAGTTCATCAGTACATCCCATCGTGTTTCCACATCTGACTGCAGTCTTAAGAACAAGACAGGACTAGTGATATTCCGAAGGTGCTTTTTCAAAATTGAAGGTGCTTTTTCAAATTGAAGTGCTTTTTCAAAAAAAAGCACCTTTGGGACAATCATGACCTGAATGACAGAGAATCTCCGTTGACAGGACCGGTGATATTTATTTTCTCCAAGATATGTTTTTTTATACATTTTCTTTGAACAAAAATATTTTTTCCCATTTGTGCCAAGTGAAGATTTAAACTTCCTTCTATTTTCATATGAAGTGGAATATGGCAACTATTGGGAAACATATTGTTGTGTCAACCTATAAAAATAGGACAAGTGCAAATTGAATATTTCACTTAAATAATGCAGATTAGTGAAATTTTTAGTCATCCTTTTGTCAACCCTGAAGCGAACCTGGCTGAGGCCATCTTAGAGGCTTCAGGGTTGCCACACAACGGAGGGAGGGAGGAAATAGTTAGATGCAGTTTTGTAGCCAAAACAATATCCTTTTCCTGTGGGAACCAAGGACATTCTCACAGGTGGCTGGCCAGAGGAGGAGCGAAGTAACCAAGCAACTGGCCAGCACCTTGATTGGACAGTGTGAACTGTGACATGGGGGGAAAGGGGAAACTTTTACTTTTTAATTAGCTGAAAGCTGCAGGAACTTTCAGAGTCGGCTTTCACCAGTTGTGCCAATATGATGTATTCAATAAATTGTTCTTTGAGGGATTCGCCTGCCTTTGAGTTCTGCTTTCTATGGGTTCATTGCTTGGAACGCTGACTCCTTTACTAGGAATGGGACACATACATATGCATGGCTGCACACTAATTCAGACATTCTTTTTCTCTTTCTGCTCAGAAATTACTTTTAATTCTCCCATGAGATTCTTCCAAGGAAACAAACTTCCTGTGCTTAATAAGAATGCAGGGAAAATGTATGATAAATTGGTTTCTGTGTTAAAATAACCTTGGCCCGTCATCTCCAGGTGGATAATGTGTGGGAATAAATAAATCAGGTTAAATCTAATTCCTGATCTTTTTCTCTTTCCCTCATTATTTATATATGTGTCTGTGTGTGTGTGCACAAAATATAAGACAGGGTCTTATTTTCGGGGAAACACAGTATGTGTATATATAATTTTATTTATAGTTTTTTCTTTAACATTATGTGCTTGGGGAACAGTGTATTGTCTGTGTCTAAGTATTGTATACATAATGCTAATAATAATAATACTGTTTATGTATGCATAATAATATTTTTTCAACTTCTAACATTTACATGTAGATAATAATTATAATGTATTCTGTTTTTTATATATATATAATACTATTTTCCCATTTTCTACTTTCTATCTCTATTTTCTAATCCCTAATAATGCAATTGCCATATTGAGAGATATTCTATCTCTATCCATCATCTCTTGCCCTTTTTAATATTTATAATAAAATAAGTTTTATGTCCGTAAGTTTTCTTTTAACGCAAGTGCTCTAAGGGTCTGGGGATCACAGGAAAGATAGTATGAAAAGAAATAATGCATTGCATTCTGTGTTTTATTTTAGGAAACCGTAGAGAAGCCCAATGTAAGTGGAAGTTACAGTTTTCTTGAGCGAAGCATTATTTCTGTAAGTGTAAAAGTTCTTTTCATATTACTATGCTATTTAATTCTTATGATTCTTAAGTCTCATTTTACTAGCATGCACACACAGAGAGAAAGACAAAATTACAATGAAAATGTATTATAACAGAAAAACTATATGATACACTGAGTTGTTTACGGATTTATCAATTCTATGTAGTAATTATTTTTCTGAATGGTTCTCTACTAGAAAGAAGAGAAAGTCTTGCTTTCAGGATTTGTTAATCCAAGCATATTATTTTATTTTTCTCACATGTATATTTTTAAAGCTCCCTTTTAACAAAAATCACCCAGAGTAATATTTGTATCCGTCCAGTTGTTTTGGACTAATTTGTTGATGGTTCTCTGGAATTTACTGATATAGGATTGTCTTTGTTGTCCATAGTTAATTCTCTCAATTCAGTGCAAATAAATGAGAATTAGATTAGATTAGATTAGATTAGATTAGATTAGATTAGATTAGATTAGATTAGATTAGATTAGTTTAGATTAGATTAGATTAGATTAGATTCAGCAAGTTTGGATTGATCAAATGTATGCCATGTTTCCAGTATATTTCAAGGTGGAAAACTATAAACAGTAGTTTCAATACTATCAGCCAAGATTTTGGGACTTTTGAAGGACCTTTTTCAGTGGTCAATTCCTGAACTGTTATAACTTTGATAAAGTGTTAGTTCTTCCTTGTTCCCTCAGGGTTTAACAAAGTTGTGTCCTGGTATTTGTGGAGAAAAAGCAAAAGTATTTTGTTTTGTTGGCAGCTTTCAGATGCCGTTCTTCCCCCTAGATTTTGGGTAGACATGATGTGAATTGTTGCTGTTTGATATGAAGGCATTGGCTTTTGTAAAATGTGTGTGCAATTCTTACTTTTTAGAAATCGTTCTATATATTTATAAAAACAACACATTAAATTCACCAATTTCCTTGTGATCGTTAAGGCATTGCAGTGGCTCCATACAAAATTCTAGACTTAGAATGTTGTGTATTGTCTACATTCTACCTTAAAAAGGACAGCATAGATTTAATAATAGTGTGGAAAAAGAACCCACACACACAACAACAAAAGAGTTGGATTAAATCCCCACAGAAATAATTTTACCATAGTTTGATCCTTACAGTTCAGAAAAAGCCCAAATGGAAAATCTGAAATTTTAAATAGTTAAGTGTCAACTTTGGCCGTCTTAGGTTTTTCCCCAGTATACTGCAATATCCATAAATGCTTGTGGATATGCCCATCTGCATATAAGTCAATCCTTGCATATTTAACCAAAATAGCATGGACAATGGACCACTCTTAGAAAAGCCAATTGTGACTATTAACACATAAAAGAGCCTTGGTGGCGCAGTGGACTAAAGTGCTGTTAAATAGCACTTAACTGCCAGCTGCCTGCAATTACTGCGAGTTCAAATCTCACCAGGCTCAAGGTTGATTCAGCCTTCCATCCTTCCGAGGTAGGTAAAATGAGGACCCGGATTGTGTGGGCAATAAGCTGACTTTGTTTAAAAAAGAATACCGCTTAGGGGGCGCCGAAAGCCCTACTAAGCAGGTACATACAAAAGTATGAAGGCTATTGCTTAACGCATTGTAAGCCGCCCTGAGTCTCCGGAGAAGGGCAGCATATAAATCGAACCAATAAATAAATAAATAAATAAATAAATAAATAAATAAATAAATAAATAAATAATAAATAAATAAATAAATAAATAAATACATACATACATACATACATACATACATACATACATACATACATACAAACATTTCAAGGGTTGGCTTATCTGTGAGTACTAAAGCATTTTTCATGGTCTTTTAGTTTAAATTCAAGGATTTGGCTTAGTCGCAGGTAGTCCTTGATTTACCTTCATTTTGTGACCGCTCAAAATTACAATTGCACTGAAAGCTGCTTTTTCAAGAAGCAACTGGTCTTTCTTGTTTTTCTTTGAAGATGTTTCGCTTCTCATCCAAGAAGCTTCTTCAGCTCTGAGCTTCTTGGATGAGAAGTGAAACATCTTCAGAGAAAAACCAGAAAGTCCAGTTGCCTCTTGAAAAAGCACCTTTGGGCCACCCGTGACCTGGATGACGGAGAATCTCCATAGACAACGGCACTGAAAAAAAGTGACTTATGACCATTTTTCACACTTATGACCATTGCAGCATCCCCCATGGTCATGTGGTTTATATTCAGATGCTAGATAATTGACTCACATTTATGACGGTTGCAGTGTCCTGGGGTCATGTGATCACTTTTTGCGACCTGACAAGCAAAGTCAATGGGAAAACCAGATTCACTAAACAACTGTGTTACTATTTTAACAACTGCAGTGGTTCAGTGAACAGATGTGACAAGAAAAGTCGTAAAATGAGCCAAAACGTAACACATTTCTCATTTAGCAACAAAAAAAAATTGGGTTTAATTGTGGTCGCAAGACGAGGACTACCTTTATGCAGAAATTGTTTATAAAAGGTCAATCTTGTTCTACAGAATAACAATCAATATATTGTTTTAAATAGTCAAGCATTAGGGACACTATAAATAAAAAATACTGAGCCATGGTAGCGCAGTGGTTAAAATGCAGTACTGCAGGCTAACTCACTGCTCACTCCAGGAGTTCGATTCTGACCGGCTCAAGATTGACTCAGCCTTCCATCCTTCTGAGGTCAGTAAAATGAGGAGCCAGTTTGTTGGGGTCAATATGCTGGCTCTGTAAACCACTTAGAGAGGGTTGTAAAGCACTGCGAAGTGGTATATAAATCTAAGTGCTATTGCTAATACCGCAATCCTAACTGGAGCCTAACTGGCTGGAGGTTAAAATATATGAAGAACGGTTGCAGGAACTGGGTATGTTTAGTTTAATGAAAAGAAGGAGACATGATAGCAGTGTTCCAATATCTCAGGGGCTGCCACAAAGAAGAGGGAGTCGAGCTATTCTCCAAAGCACCTGAGGGCAGGACAAGAAGCAATGGATAGAAACTAACCAAGGAGAGAAGCAACCTAGAACTAAGGATAAATTTTCTGACAGTGAGAACAATTAATCAGTGGAACAACTTGCCTCCAGAAGTTGTGAATGCCCCAACACTGGAAGATTTTGAGAAGAGATTGGACAACCATTTGTCTGAAGTGGTATAGGGTTTCCTTCCTAAGCAGGGGGTTGGACTAGAAGACCTCCAAGGTCCCTTCCAACTCTGTTATTCTATTCTACTCTAAATCAGTTCCTCTGCTCATTATTTCTCCACTACAAAGATAGCGGACATTCTCATGTTTGCAAACTTAAACCACAAGATGGATTGTAAATAAATAAATAATACTAAAAAAAAAAAAAAACAGTCAGAAATCCACTTCCACATCACTTCGTCTACCAAAGACTGATGGCACATTTCCACATTCGTGCAAGGGCCATCTGTGGTGTATATAAATGACAGGCCATATGGAAATTGTAGGATCTGCTTCCGCCTGTCTGTTTCTTTCTGGGATTCTGTCCGCTTCCCGCTGACATGGGAGATTGGTGAGAATGGGCAAATTTATCACTCCTGATCTTCACAGTAAATACCCTGAGCAAATGCCAGGCTTCCCCAGAGGACATTTTGAAAAATCATCCAGGTACCCAAAGCTCATATGTAACGACAAACGCAACACACACATGTTCTCTCCGTAACTCCTGCAAGCACTTTGCATGTAAAGAAAACACTTGTTGATGAGATTAGAAAGTAAGCAGCAGTTCCATTCAAAAGACTCCGACAAATCTTGTTCTTTTAGTTCCGTGGCACACCGGTTACTTTTTTAAACTTATTTTTCATTCTCTCCCACCAGCAGTGCCGTCTGTCATGGAACGGTAATATGGCAGTTAGCAGGATTTGACAAGAAGAAGGGAAAACAGCAAAAGATAATTTCTGCCACCAAGAAGGCAGAAGGGAGACCGAGTCCCCAGCATAGGGGAGATAGCAGTCCCTGAGCTGATTAGTATGACACTGTGAGATGCCAACAATTTATCTACAGTTATTAAATTTCAATATCTTTATAATGCTGACTGGAGGGTATAGGAATAATGACTGTGTTGCCAGTGTAGAAAGTGTTATGTCGGCAAAGATCCGCTGTCTCCCTACACCGAACAATGACCCTTTTATGACTTGTGGACTTCAACTCCCAGAATTCCTGAGCCAACTATTCCATGGCTGGCTCAGGAATTCTGGAAGCTGAAGTCTACAAGTCATAAAGGGGTTGTCATTCCCCATCCCTCTGCTGAGGGGATTCGTTGTCTTGTTTTGAAATAAACAATCACCAGCCAAAACTTCCAAGAGAAAAACAATGGTAATTTTATTCTTCACTTTGCAAAGAGGGTGTACATGCAGATACAGTGGACACCAGTGGTGGGATTCAGCTGGTTCTGTACGGTTCGGGTTAACCGGTAGTGGCGAGTGCGGGAGGCTCCGCCCATCCACCCGGATGCAATGCACGCTCACAATCTGCAAACCAGCAGGGAAGCTAAGTGAATCCCACCTCTGGTGGACACATACTAAATCATCAATATGTTTGCTTTATCTTCTCTGGTGTTGTTACAAATTTACCTCCCACCTTTTCCTCATTGACTTAGTAATCATGTCATCACTACCTATCCAAAGTGTCTAAAATGAATACATTATCTCCGCCTCTGATTACCTCTCCCACTACTCTAATTCTATCTTCCCCCTGCCCTTATTTACAAATTTCCTTTCATGGTCCTAGTTCCTAGGGGGTTGTCTCTAGAGTAACTATCATATCAGTAAATTCTGGTTAAGGCTGGTTTCTAGCATAGCAGAGGCCTTCCTACATATAATTCTCAAGCTTCAGCTTAGCTCCGTGATGGCGAACCTATGGCACATGTGCCCAAAGTGGCACATGAAGCCATGGGGCCTTGCCTGTTTGTCTTCCGGGTTTCTGGTGCACAGGTGCACATGATGATCAGCTGACCTTTCCATGCGCGGCAGTGCTGAAAATTGGTGGGTGCTGGCTA